CTGATCGGCATTGGACTGCTCATCATCCTGCAATATTGTCTAATTGGGATGCGCGAATGATAAGTTTCGGCTTGGGAAGACGCGATAGTCTCGCTCTCGATTACGTGTGACAGCCGGATGGCGATCTCTGAAATGTTTTCCCAACTGAGCTGTTGGTATTGGGGTCTATGATAGACTCCGTAGTTGAAAAGGTACCCTTGGCCCATTCAATAACCACATATCATATGTATGGCTTTGCCACTCTGTGGGTGAGGCTCATCTACATCTTCTCATCGATATGTTGCATCATTCAGATCATTATGTCTACACGATAAATCGTTCCTCTCCTCTCTGGTCTTGGCATTTGATACTACCGAACCTGGTACACGGGCCGTTCTCCTCAAGGGAGATCAAGCGGTGGCTCTTGTTACTCAGTTTCGTAGTTTGGCTTGTCCATCGGACCGCTACCTCTTGTTGTCTCGTCTATGAACTGAGAAGATTGACCAATCCCATAGACAATTGTTGTCAACTGAAGCATTCGTGACGGGGCTCTCAACTACTGCGACCAGCTAAAATCACGAGTGTATCTCTCTCACGCCAAAAAAGACGTTACTCTACTCACTTGACTACATCAAAGGGAGAGGAAGATCTTTATTCTTCGCTCCTCACAACCTACTACTCTGAAAGCTACAGCTCCCCTCGGGGGTGTTAGTGTCGAGAATCCCACTGCACTTCCTTCGTGAGCGGTCGCATTTTGCCCTTGAAGCCAAGACTGTTGCAAAGGACTTTAAAACCTTGGACAGGTTTGATAAGAAAATGAGCCAGCGGAAAGAAGGAACTCAACGTGTGCGATTGTTCATCAGACGTAAAAGCTGGATGTGATTTGGTAGGACATGATACAGCATCACCATGACGAAGCATTATCTTGTGAACAGTGAAGTTTTGCAACCCTCTTACACCACCAAGGCATTAGATGTCGATAGGCTTGGCTCCCCCAAACTAATGGACCGTCTATCCCTTGCTAGAATCAGTGGTGGCGATAATTGGCCGGAGAAGGCGCCGGGTGGCTTCGATGGAGAATTGCCAAGGCGCCGGCGCAAATCAAGGTGTATGGGGTGTTACACATTGCAATATCTTTGCGTTTACGAGAGACCAGAAAGAGTGGTTGACTACGACTGCTAAGTGAGAATGCCAATGCCAATGCCAATGCCAAGTTGGAAGATTCAGGAATGTCGCGTCTTGGGGCAGGCTTGGCTGTGACAATGGCATCGAGCTGAACCTTGGCAAGTCGTAGCAGGCGGTGATATAAGCAAGGATGAGATGTCACTGTGAACGTGGAAGGCATGATGGCGCTGCCCTCCTATTATGATGGAAACGAGACTATTGCTTCTAGAAGCCGTAGAGGAGGGTGGGTGGCCAGTCTTATTATCCTCCCATTCACGTGGGACCATTTCCCATCTCGCAGCATTTTTCACTCGGCTGTCGTCGGGGCAGTAAGATCAGATCGAACAAGCTCCCGACATCAGCCCATTGGAACCAAAAGGGTTCAAATGGGCCGTGGATACAATTTCCCGACCTGGAACTTCGAATACGAATGAACAAAATCTAACGGTCGCCAGTACGAAAGGGGATGTAGGTTCAGAAAGTGAACAGGCGACTTCCGAACCATTAAATAATTGGAGGGGTCAATGTCATCCCTGCATTAGTGCCAACTCTTGTTTGAATCATGTCCCCCCCCTGTACACTTGCGAATCGATGTGCTACCTCCAGTCAAATCTAGTTAATCGGCACCCTCATCGAGCCACTCTGCAAATAAAGCCGTGGACTTGGGCTGGCGAGTGGCCCTCGTGGGTGGCTTGCGGGGGGTTGTTTTGGCATCATCTGGCGAAGGCTGCTCCTCGGCGTCAGTTTCTTGAGAAGCCATGTGGCTTTGCATTAGCTCCAGTCGCTGCGCCATCCAAGCAGCGAGGCCGGTAAACATGCCAACCTTTGGCCATCTGCGACAGAATCTGGCGAGAGCCTCATGCTGGCCCTGGATGAACTGCATCTGGATGTTCGGCGTGGTCGGTTTCCCTATCAACGGAGCAAGAAGGTTCGATAGCTTCTGAAGGCAGATGGGGCACAGATAGGGCGGCTGGCGGACATCCTCGGCGATATTGGCAGTCCCTTGCATGACACAGGCGAAGAACGAACAGTGGTCGAGGACCATGCAGTGGCCTACTTCGTGGGACATGGTCCTCGCCGTACGGGACATCCATAACTGAGAATAGTCCTCCGCTGTTCTGGGCACGAGATGCTGGCTGGCCCCCCGTACAGCCGAGGCAAGTGGTGAGGTTTCACCAACTGGGATGGTTGGCACACTGGGCGGTTTGGGCTTCTTGGCTCGCTTCCTGGGAGGTTCCGTCGTCGCTTGACAAAGCTTGTCTACATATGCTTTGCAGTGCGATGCTGGCCACATGTGCTCTCGGTCAATGCCCGAATAACGATCCAAGGACGGATGATACCGAAATGACGAGACGATAGCCACGCGACTAGACCCCCATGCTCTCCCGCAGCAGAAATCGTCTTCATCGTCTTCGTAGAGATCATGGTGGGTTAGCATGACAACTGAATAAGCATCCGGTGGGATATGGGCGAGCATAGCGTCCGTAATATCGCTTAGGTTCAATTGCTGCTTTGCAATACCGTCTAGCGATGGTCTATATCGGACACCGAACAGCTCGCCAGTCGGAGCGGCTGGCTCCAGACCGAGATAGGTGTCATGCCCCTTTCTGGATTTCGAGCTCCGCGCTGTCGAAGATCCGGATGAGGTCCCGTTCCCGGTCCACGATCGCCACAGATACTGTGGTCTAAAGACCTTGATCTCCATAGGGTGGTAGAAGGCGCGCAGATAGTCGCACAGATCCTCCACCATTGGGGCTGCTAGCTGGCCAGACGGCAGGCTTGGCACCTTCTGGCCCCTCGGCACCTGGGGCTCCGCCCAGCCCTTCATGAGGGACTGGACCTCGTCCGTCTCATCGGGGGGTGGGATGACGTAGAGAGTCTTCCTGCGGTTGGTGATCTGTCTCCCGGGGCCGCGAGAGTACTTGAACCACTCCTTGAAGGTCTGCGGATCGTCGTCCTCGGGGTCCTGGGCGATCTCGTCGTCTGGGAGAACCAGCGGACCAGGAAAGACGGACGGATTATTGAAGACCTGTGCCGGTGTAGCCAGCTCGTCAGCGTTTGTGGAGGTCAATCTCCCGGTGAGGGTGGCCGCGTCGAGGCGACTGTGGGCCGCTGGGCGCTCGAAGCCAGCAATAGCGGCTTCGGGCGACGAGTCGACGTAGAGCGTTTCGTGGGCACAGCAGCCACTGGCGATTCTAAGGGGCGGGGGCATTTCGGCCTCGTCGGGAATGGCTGTGGCTATTGGCGGCTTTGGCTGACTCCGAGTACACTCGAACAAGGTCTAGAGGCTGCTGGTGACTGAGTCGTGGGCCGGCAGAGATGTGGTGGGAATAATGAAAGTGCAAGGAAGACTTTGCCCCTGGCGAAATTCCGCCGCATCGTGAAGGATTAATAGAAAAAAAAAATTAGCTTCCAACGCGCAGACGCAGCTAGGCAGCAGCGCCTCATAGCGTTTCGAAGCCATCCAGCTCGTGTTTGGTGAATTCTGGTGATGTTTTTAGAGTGCTGATGGCGCCTGGTCTTGATGAGGCACAGGCACAGGGTAAGACCATGAATTTGTCGGGCTTCGGCTTTGAGAATGCACAGCGCCATGCACGACTCAGGTACCTGCTGCAGATGGAGCTTGTAGCGGATGGCTTAGCAGGAGGTACCGCCTAAGCTGGCCGTCTCCCACCTTCCCGGTCACGTTACGGCCCTGACAGGGATTAGACGACGATTAACCGAGCTGCATACCGGTACCTGGGCACTGCCATCGGCCTAAGGGTCTAGTTCCAGCAGCAGGTGTCGCTGCTCGGCACCGATTGGACTCGCTGGACCCTCTAGAGCTGGACACCCGATGGCGCTAGTTTCATTTATTGATCGAGGCTGGACGGCCTGGACTTGGCAGATTCTTCGCGACTGAAGAAACTTATGACACATACCCGCGGTCGGATTCAGGGGAAGAGGGCCCGCGGTTTGATAAACATCAAGCGGTGGGCCGTGGACTTGCACTCGCCCATGGGGGAGATCAGGCGAGAAATGGGGAGGTCTGCTCTGCCCGCTCATCGATATTTCATCGGTATGCATGTCTTGGATGGAATGCAGGTCAGGCCTAGTCGGATCGGATCGACTTGCGGATGGGAGGTGGCATCTCGGGAGCCGCACTGATATTGATTAATCAATCTGACATTCTTCTAGAAGACGCCGACGCTCCCGCCACGTGAAAACCTGGCTCTTTCAGCTGGAGGGTAAGACTGCAGGCCGGGGGCATAGCGGACAGTCCTTTCATGTGTGGCGAGGCAGTATATGCCGCAAAGGCTTGATATCAGCCAGTCGTTTGGCCTCGCCCGACTGTCTAGTGGCCGGGCATCCCACTAGAGGTCACCCCATCCCCTTGTTTGTGTGGATGAATCCACTCGCTAGACCCGTTCATCGTCATGGAGGGAGGGTCGGAGATAGTCGCTCTCGTTGGTTGACTGGCTCTGCGGTGGTCTGGATCACAGCTGCCAGCTCGTGTGGGTGTGTGGCCGCCAATTTTATTCATCCAGACGTGAAAACCATGCGGCTGACGCAACCATCTTCTCCGTTGGTTAGTCTCTCCAGGGGACGCCTGTGTTGATGAATAAAACCGATCGTCTTCCCAGCCGGCGTGCCCCCAGATCGCAGGTTCTAGTCTTTCGTTCCCATGCATGCATGTCAGCGCATCATGCTTCATAGTGGGTTGAACGAACCGTGTCGATCCTCATAAGACTCTTTTGCTTTCTTTTTCCTCTCCGCTCCGCTCCTCTCCCCTGCTCCTCCATCTTCGTCATTGAAGATTTGTGAAGAACCACTCAAGCAGTTCATGAGAAGCGCTTTGATCACATCGACCGCCCACCATGCTCGCCCTCGAGCCTGAGTCTTGGGTATGGTACGCCTTGTCATGGGTGATTGTGCTGATACGCATGTAAGGCATTTTTCCTCGCAAACTTTTTGAAGCTCATCTGATATCTTATCTTTTCTTCTAGGGCCTCGCGAAAGCTTGTGCTTGGGTCATGGAGGAAGCTGCAAATTGATGACTATCTGATGCTCGTCGCCATGGTATGCTGAAGTCTCTGTGCTGTGTGATGCAGTCCTCGTAGCTTCGCTGTGTGTTGACCGTCTTGATGCCAGGCCACCGATACCGTGCTCATTGTGTCTATGAACATCGTTGCTAGAACGTCGAGTAACCTGATTGACCCCAACTCGCATGAAGAACTCACGCCGGAGAACATCGCCGAACGAGTCTATGGTTCCAAGATGGTTTTGGTTGTGGAGCAGATGCAATGCATAACCATCTGGATGATCAAGGCATGCATCTTGCTCATGTACCACCGATTGACGTATGTTTCTTTGCCCGGATGTGTGATCAATGTCGATGCCACGTCCATCGTTTGACTGAACCCTCTGACCGTTACATGCAGGATGAGTTTGAAGCAGAATCTGGCTGTGAAAATCGTGGCTGGATACACTCTTGGATCCTTTATCTTGATGGAGATTCTCTACCTGGGAGTCTGGTGCAGACCATTCACAGAGTACTGGGCTGTCCCCCCTGCAAGCAGTGAGTCCCGAGTCTGTGACCCTGTCGAAGCCCAATCGTTTGCTGATGTGTGTATCAACCAGCCCAATGTTCGGCTGCGACAAACCATTTGATCACCAACGCCGTTTTCAACCTTTCCTCCGATATCATGATTATCTTGATCCCCATGCCCGTGTTCCTGAAGTCGACTCTTGGTATCAAAAAGAAGGCTGTTCTGTGCGGTATCTTCGCTGTTGGACTTTTCACGGTACGTCAAAGAATACCCAGGCTCACCAAGAAGTAGGCACCCAATACTCACAATGCTCAGATCTTGTCCGCCATCCTCAGCAAATACTACAGCTTCAACCAGCCCTTCGGCGTCGACTGGACCTACTGGTACATCCGCGAATCCTCCACCGCCATCATCACGGCCAACCTGCCCCTCACCTGGTCCCTCCTCCAGAAGTGCTTCGGCCTCAAATCCTTCAAGGACTACTCGAACCCCTACTCGAACCAGAACACCAACTCGCGCTTCCGCTCGACCACCTACGGCCGGCAGAGCAACAAGCGCGGAGGCACGCGCTCCGCCAGCCAGGAGCGCATCACCAACGTGCCCCTCAAGATCTACCAGAAGCGCGAGGTGCAGGTCACCAACGCGCCCGTGAGCCCGACGCGCATCGAGTCCTCGGAGGAGTCGCTGCCCTTGCCCGATCAGCTGAGGACGACGGTGCATGTGAGGGGCGGCAACGCGAGCTCGCATAACGAGGAGACGGCCTCGGAGAGGTCGGTGGCGGGCGCCGTGAACGTGCATGTCGCGAATGGCGTTTGAAGCCTTCCACGGCACTGTATTAATTCCCGAAGCTTCTTTTGTTTGAACATATCTTGACATAATATTTTTTGTATTTGAAGGCATATAGAGATGACACATTACGAATAGAAAGTCTCACGGAAGAGACAGGGTACCCTTGTTTCGATCGACCCAGATCGCTGGATTTGACATGTAGATGATGGGGAGGGTATCGTAAATCGTTGCTTGGGAGGACGTTGAAGTTGTCAACATTTCTTAGTAAGTCTTTGGATTCCTTCCACAACCCAATGTAACCACACTCTGGAAGTGATCAAGCGGCACTAGTCAATCAGGGAGGTGTGGTTACAGATCTGGTGCCCGTCACCCGCGGCTCTCATTATCCGGATCGAAGCCATCTCGACTGCCCCACGGGGAAATCCTTCAGGCGGGGGAGGGGCATCGGTGTATGGGACCGGTGCCATGGTAACACACCTTGAGTTACCTGTTCAGGAAGATGGTTTTCCGGAGCGTGCAGGGAATGGACGGATGGTTGCCCTCTGGCGTAGTTATTACTAGACCAAAGCGCCTTTACCTGGGCTTGGATCCGGCTAGAGACGAGCAACTGCCTTCTTTCGATATACGCCTACTGGTTGTTGAATTGAATCTTGGAATATGGCGGCCTTGGACATGAGATCAAGTAGCTTTGTGAGCCTGCCATTGCTGGCATCGAGCCTTGCACTGGTGGTAAGTATCGAAGAACTGTATATTCTTCTCTGTCAAGCCATCAGCTTCTGATCGTAGACACAGGGAATCGCATACGTACTCTTCATCGCCATATACCGCCTCTACTTCCACCCTCTATCCAAATATCCAGGCCCCCTCCTGAACAGAATCTCCCCCCTCCCACTCTCCATCGCCCTGCTCCGCGGCCGCCTCCCCTTCTACGTCAAGCACATCCACGACAGATACGGCCCCGTCGTCCGCCTCACGCCCACCGAGCTCTCCTTCAACTCGGAGCGCTCCTGGAAGGACATCTACGGCTCCCGCCCCGGCCACGCCAACTTCCACAAGGACCCCATCCACGTCGGCTCCGTCCAGGCCGTCCCCGGAGCCGTCACGATAACCATGGCCGACGACGCCGACCACGCCCGCCAGCGCCGCGCCCTCTCCCACGCCTTCAGCACAAAGGCCCTCCTCGAGCAGGAGAGCCTCATCACCTCCTACATCGACGCCCTCCGCGACGTCGCGAACGCCCACGCCCGCGACGGCCGCGTCTGCAACCTCGCCGACTGGTTGTCGTACACCACTTTCGACATCATCGGCCACCTCTCCCTCGGCGAGCCCTTTGGCTGCCTCGCCTCCTCCGACCTACGCTTCTGGGTGGCGCTCATCTCCGAGTCCATCAAGGCCGGGGCGGTCGAGCAGGCCGCCCGCCGCCTCGCCACGACGGGGTCCTGGGCACAGAAGCTCCTTCTTAGGCTCCTCGCGCCGCCCGAGCTGCGCCAGCAGCGCGTGCGGCACCTCGAGTACTCGCGCGAGAAGATCCTCAAGCGCATCGCCGCGCCGGGAGGTAACAGTGCGCATCGGGACTTTCTGCACTACCTCCTCCGGCAGGGCGACAAGGAGAACCTGAACCAGGACGAGATTATAGTGAATGGTGCGCTCTTCATCATCGCGGGGTCCGAGACGACGGGGAGTTTCATGACGGGGCTGTTCAACCACCTCCTCCGCCCGGAGAATCGGCGCGCGTACGAGAGGCTGAGGGATGAGATACGGGGGGAGTTTGCGCGGGATGAGGACATTACTTTTGAGCGGTTGTCTAGACTGCCCTGGCTGGGCGCCGTGCTGGAGGAGGGGCTGCGCATCTTCCCCTCTGCGCCTATCGGGTTTACGCGCCAGGTTCCCATGGGAGGGGACACGGTGGACGGGGAGGTGCTGCCGGGGGGCACGACGGTGTCGACGTGCATGTGGGCGGCGACGCACGCGCCTGAGAACTTTGCGGATCCGTATACGTTTCGGCCGGAGAGGTGGCTTGATCGGGAGAAGGCGACGGATAGGCTGGGGGCGAGTAATCCGTTCTCGCTCGGTCCGAGGGGGTGTATTGGTCGCAAGTGAGTTTACTAAGTTGACCTGGAATGTCGTTGATGTGAGGTTGTTGGCTGACTTGGATTTAGCCTGTCTTATATGGAGCAGAGGTTGATTGTGGCCAAGCTGCTGTGGCATAATGATCTTGAGATGACGGGGGATGAGTCGTGGAGGGTGTGGGATCCTGCGAATGACCATGAGAACATGCAGGTGTTTACGAATTGGATCAAGATGCCGTTGAATGTGAGGTTGATCCCACGGAAACACGAGTGATGGAGTCAAATATTCCAGCTTGAGCGGCTAGTAAATCACTTGAACACCGTGATCGTCTCATGAGGCATGAATTAATGCATCTATTCATTCATCATACAATAACAATAGAAAAGGAATCTATAAAAATACACGACTAGCGACGTGGTGGTGCCTAGACATGCTCCTCACGCGAGACATGCGTGTCAAGAACCCCATTCCCGCCATCGGCGCTCTGCTTCTTCTCCGTGCCGGCAGACCCAGAGACGCTGAGCTTCCTGAAATGCGCCTCGTCTCTCTGCTTGCGGGTGATGTAACCAGGAGGCACCCACTTGTGGCTCGTCCAGGGCTTGAGGCCGGGCTGGCTGTACATGAGGTCGACGTTCTCCAGGCTGAGCGTGCGGGATTCGTAAAGGAAGAACCAGGTGACGAGAGCGGCGCACAGGTTGGTCCCAGCGAACACGAAGCCGTAGTAGTAGCTGATCCCATTTGTTGCAAGTGGAGTGAGGAAGCCAACCATGACTGTGATTAATTGTTAGCTTAGATCGAGAGCTCATAGTAAAGAGGGACGTACAGTTTCCAAGCCAGTTCGCAGCGGTGGCAAGAGACGCCTGCTTGGCGCGGGTTCGGAGGGGGAATGTCTCGCCGATGACGACCCAGGCCATCGGACCCCAAGTCCCGGCGAAGGAGGCGATGAACATGCACGCGGACACAATCATTACGATGCCCGAGGTGCTGTTGTCCTCGGGAGGTAGCGAAGTGCCAATGGCGGCGAACACGACGAGCCAGAGAGACTGCCAGATGGCACCGAGGAAGAGCGGCCACCGGCGGCCGTATCTCTCCACGACGTAGAGACCGTAGAATGTCATGGCGACGTTGACGGCGCCGAGGATGAGCTGCGTCTTGATGGGGTCCTCAATACCGGCTGACTTGAAGATGGTGCTCCCGTAGTACATGAAGAAGTTGATGCCGGTCCACTGCTGCAGGAAGTGAATCCCCATACCCAGGAACGTCCGGTACACAAGTTTGGGGATGCTCGTGTTGGGGTTGAAGCACTCCATCCACCCAGAAGTACCAACCTGCTGCTCCTTGTCGAGGACCTCCCTCATCTCAGTAAGATCGTCCACCACGAGCGAATTCCCCGCGTCGTCCTTCATCCCCCTCAGCCGCGCCAGCGACCGCTGCGCACCCTCCCAGTCGCCCCTGGACGCGAGCCACCGGGGCGACTCGGGGACGGAGAGGACGCCCACGCCCAGGGGCAGGGAGAAGAAGATGCCGAGGCCGATGACGATGCGCCACGAGGCGCTCTGGTCCTGGATGGCGCGGACCCCGAAGTTGATGAGGTTGGCGACGAGGATGCCGATGGTGATCATGAGCTGGTACGAGGCCACGACGGCGCCGCGGATCTCGCGGGGGGCGCACTCAGACTGGAACATGGGCACGCCGACGGAGAGGCTGCCCACGCCCAGGCCGGCGACGAAGCGGCCCATCATCATGTGCACCCAGCTGCGCATGGCGGTGATCTGGATGACGTTGCCGACGATGAAGACGCCGACGGCCATGGTCAGGCTCTTGCGGCGGCCGAACCAGTCTGCGGTGCTGTATTGTGTAAGTCTTTGGAAGGATCTTGGTAGTGTGGGCGTGGTGATGTGACTTACTATGCTCCGGACAGAGCGCCGATTAGACACCCGATGCTCATGAGCGAGACGACGAGGGACTGGATGATGGGCTGCCAGTCCTTTGTGCCGTCGGCCTGCTCCTGGGCAAAACGGTCGATGAAGTCCTCGAAGATGAGCATCTGGGAGATCTGGCCGGTGTCATAGCCGAAGAGGAAGCCACCGATGGAGGTGACGACACCGAGGAGAAGGGACTCGGCGCCTACTTCGGCGCCGTTCACCTTGACGGACCTGGAATCGGTGTTAGTGATGGAGTTGGCAAGAGACGAGAGTATGGGACGATACGTACACTTTCCCCAACATGGTGAAAGTAGCGTGGGATGGGATTGTTGGATGGGCAAATCAATGGCTGTACACGGAATGGCTGTCTTGCATCTTCTTCGGTTGTCCCTCCCGAATGTCTTGGATGGAAGAAACGGGGCGAGCAGAATGTCTGTAATGCGAAAGGGAGATGGGGAAAACAAGAAAGGCGAGTGAGTGGATTATATAGATATCTTTACCAGTATCTGGGACACCCTCACGATTCATTCAATCGGTGGAGTTGAGGCAGACATTGTATCATACCTGGAGTCAGGCGATCAGCGACCATATTGCAGAGGCAGCAAACAGTACGGCCATGGCAATCAATTGACCTCATCTCGCCTGGGCACAAACGAGGCAGGATGCGTGCTATTGGCCAATGCGGCAAGATCAGCAGCGTGGCTCTACCAACGTCATTTGATGTCGTCGAGCCCTGGTCAAAGGCTGGCCGTGTCGACACTTGCCGCGATCCGGAATAGTGACGAGCTGCCACCGACAAGGACATGACATGCAAAGAACATGACATGCAAAGGACACGACAAGCAATTGAAGGAGGCCATCACTGGGGAGCCGTCTGGGGGCGCCCCCTCAGAAGGGCCGAGAGCCAAGTCACAGTGTTTGTTTTGACCTCGAATGGCCCGATTGGCAGGAATCGGCTCGGTTTGAGATATTCAAAGAAAGAATTGCCTAAATTTCTTCCATTTGCATCAACATTCTTCTTTTGCAAGTATCTAGGTAGGTAAATTAAACATGTGCTGCTGGTAATAGCGTGCGTAGGCCAAGCAGGTGGTTGGTGATGATAATGGCAGTTCGTGTACAGGCGGTTTTGTCAATCTGTCAGTGGCTTTTTTCTTTCTGCCAGTGCCGTCATCAATCGCGTCAGCCAAGAAATCTCCCACCGGCAACAGCGACGGAATAATCGCACTGGCTCTCCCCCCCGCAGGTAAGCTTAAAAAGTCTGCAGATCAATCGGCGCCCAGAGATGAAAGGGGCTGCGGCCGCTTTTCATTTGGGTTGCACCAGTTTGAATAATTAGCGAGCAAGTATTGGCTTTGGCATTCCGGCTGTGCGCCACCAGGTCATTTTGCTTGGCCCAACTGTTATTCCCATCCTCATATTGAATTCTTGGCCGGCAGAGGTATAATAAGGTCGAGGGATAGAAAGAGGCCATCTCGCGACGCCATGAGAAAAAGAGGCCGCCAGATCGTGATCTGTTTGCCTCGGTGTTTTACTCGGCCTGTCCCACAAAACTCTCCGTTGATGTTCATCCAGGAGGAAAGGCAATGACATAACTACCCTGTACATCACCCATTTTTCACTCGACCCTCTGTCCTTCAATAACTCTCTACTCCTTGGTTGGTGTTGATATGTCGATGGATATACTGACCTGCGGGGGGCAACCCTACAATGGGTGCAATACAGCGCTTAGAGTTAGTGGACGGCGGTAGCTTTCGCTTGAACACAAGGTCATGTCTTAATTGACTTGTACGTAGATGGATTGTAGAACCGTTCGACAGGGTGCTTGTCTCTCTTTGCTAACCTGTTTGTCGTACAAAGAGAGGCACGATGGTAGAGTGCCGTCAAAACCACTGAGCTAACCCTTAAGCTGTTCAACAGGCCGATGAGTACTCAGATCAAGACCCTCCTTCATCCTCCCCCGCCTGTCATCCACCCATCTCTTCCATCTCCGGAATCTTTCCCTGTGATCCAGATTGGGTTCACCATCCGGGCCCAGATAAACCTCCTCCAACCTCTTCAAGCACGCTTCTACCTCGACCCTCTTATACTCTTTCCCGCATACCATGAAAACGAACGAACCGGACATCTGCTCATAAACAAGCATCCCCTTATTTAGCAACTTTGAAGTAAACGATAAAGCCATGTCTAAATGTCTGGTCATGAGCACTGCCAGACGCTCCTCCGGCGCCACCGACACGTCGTCATGCCCCGCATGCCGTGATGCGAGGCGGCCGGGGCGGTAATGCAGATCATCCATAATGACACTCCTGTGCTTCGAGGCATCCGGAGGTGCCATGATGTCGATAATGATATCCTTGACGACGTATCTAGGGGCGACGCTCGGTTCATCTTCAGCGCCGCCGCTGCGGTCCATGAAGCCAGGTCCACGATGGAAGAACGCTTCTAGCAGCCCGTAGAATCCATCCATAATGGGGTCTTGCTGCCCGTAGCTCAAGTGGAACGTCAGTCCATTCCGAAAATAACTCTTCATTGACTTGGGCGGGTTGAATATCCGGAGTGTCGCGTATATGGAGTCAATGTAATGTGTGGGTGCGGCATGGCTCCTCTTTCCAGGTAGAGGCGGCGGAATCGACCAAGTAGGCCATAGACCGGACTCCTTAACGCACATGATGTCGACGTGGTAACTACTAGGTGGGGGGAGGTAAAAGAGAAAGTTGCCGACTTCCTCGTTGACCTGTCTATTCACCCGAAGAAGAGAGAGAGCAGGGTTATTGGGCGTGCGGTGAAAAATCCCCCGAGTATCTCTGCTGCCATCGGGTAGTAGCCGACGATGTCGTCGATCCCAGGTGGGAGAAGGAGGTGGTTTGGTAACGGAGCAGATAACCCACTGGTAGATTCCGTACCTGATCTCCAGCGGCAGATTGATAAAAAGCATCGTGTATTCATATGAGGATCATCTATCGCGACTGCTTGCTGTTTTGGCAACTGAGTGCGTCAAACTAAACTGCCCGGTTGATCTTCAGTTCTATTGATCGAGTGTGGAGGAGGAGGGATTTTTTTCGACTAAAGAGCGGGTCATTATATCTTTTGTGGATGGCATGACATGGTCCCAGTGTCTGGCGGTTGTCAGTTGTGAATCTTACATCAGAGTCAGCCAGGGTGACTCAGTCATCTCTTTGCCCACTTTTGGCTGCTAGCTAACAAGACCAATCAGTTAACATGACTTCTGATATGCCACAATGTTTTGGAGAGTTATGATCGAGTTGGTCCGCACTTTCATTCTTGTTCTTGGTCGCTCACGGCTTTGGATATTTTACACGTGATATCAATATTGTCGTACGGTGCCTTGACTACCCGCATAGAGACAATCATTTGTGACATTAAGTGACGTGAAAAATCATATAACATACAGTAGACTTGCGGTTGGAACAGATGGACTTGAAAGGAGACTATGCAATATCCAAACGCATGCTAGCCGAGATGGCCTCGTTTTGGGCCTTTACCTTTGGCGCAGAGCAAGACTATTCGATCGTCCTGCGGGTAAACTTTCTTCTGTTGCATTTAAAGTTGAGTTAATTCCAAATCAAACTTCCCTTGACGAATCTTTATGGCATCTGATGCCAATGAGTTCTGTTACAAGAACTGATTCTGCTGTGCCAGCAAAAGAACACTTTTCTCCTCGTGCGGCTTTTGATTATCTGCATCTATTTCAGCAAACCGGTTCCGGTATTTAGTAGGCTGCTCGGTGAATAAGCCCTGCCACGGTCTTTATAGCCCATATTTATAGCAATCTTGAAATAGTGCGCGATCTTCTCTCCCCTTTGTCTTCCGATGTCAAGTCTTGCCACTGCTCTCGGTATTGATCGATCGTAATCTCATTAACATAAAGCATAGATGTTTCAATTCATTAGCACTTATCTGAATGGCTTCGGCTCCTTCCTTAAGAAGCAGCCGAGCAATCTCTGGGCGGTTAAATCTTATCGCAGCTTGGAGAGCTGTGCCGAAATGACGACCAGCCTCTTGATTGACATGAGCTCCATTTTCGATAAGAAACTGAACAACATCGCAATGGTCACCCGTTGATGCGGCTTGAAGAGCCGTCCCGTAATAGCCACATCCTTGGTTAATATTAGCTCCATTTTCAAGAAGGAATTGGACCATCCCAAGTTGGCCGCGAAGCGATGCAGCTTGAAGAGCAGTTGTTTCATCATCACCGGCTTGTTGGTTAACATCAGCTCCTTTGGTAACGAGCAGGTGTACGATCTCAAGATGGCATCCATCTGCCGCAAGTTGAAGAGCCGTTCCATAGTGACCGGATTGTTGGTTTATGTTAGCTCCTCCTTCAATAAGCCTCTGGACAATCGCAAGATGGCCTCGCATTGACGCAGCTTGAAGAGCTGTTCCATAATTGCCCGCCACTTCATCAAGAAAGAACGGCTCAACTCGACTGTACGCATTACTCGATGCGTCTAGTTCTTTTGATAGACCATCTTCTATGAGTTTATAGACAACTGAACGTATTCCAAGCAATGACGCATAATAAAGTGGTCCTGGCCTGGGTTTCCTAGGGTGGTTGCGGTCATGGTCCCAATACCATAACCACTTCTCAAACCAACCACCTGCCCCGCAAAAGAGACGAGAAGCTTGCGCCCTTGTTGAGGCACTGGAAGTGAAATCATCATAATAGTCGACCCAATGACGCGCTGCATAAGTCCTTAGAGTGTTTAAGGCCAGTGGAGATGATTCTGACATCTGCGCCTCAAGTATTGAGGGTTCCAACAGAAAGGCGAGGCAAGTACCCGCCATTTGATCATTGGCATCTTGCATGTCCACGTGGAAACTGACCAGGTCTTTGAAATCTTTTGATCTTATCCGATCTGATTTCAGAAATTCCTGGACGGAAAAATGAGCGATCCGCACCATCTCGTAACGAGTACCGTGGGTGCCGAAAAGGGTGATATCCATCATACTAAGTGAGTCAACTTGATTAATCAGTGTGAGATCATCATGAGTTCGGACATCAATATCAATGAATCCGGCACATATCTGCCGAAGATCCTCGCTGCTCTTAAGTTGGCGTTCTGAATTGTACTTCGGTGAATCACCCAGCTCCACGGCTATCGCTAGCATAAGCTCTTCAACGAGCAGGGGACGCTTTGCACAGCAAAGCAAGTTCAGGGCACGCTGGACGTCCTCTTGGTAGATGGGATCCACGTCTCGAAGCATGCGCGCATATGTCTCGTCTAAGCTCTTTGGCAGTGATTGGAGAGTGCGCTTATCAGGGGAGAAATAGATTAGCTAATAAGAGTATGCGGATAAGTAGGCCCTAATATATAAGGCTATATATATAATAAAATAATATTATAATCTTAAAAGATTTAGAAGGGTTAAAAGCTAACTTATCTATTAGGTAGCTATTAGCTATTATATTATTAGTTAATTATAAGCTTATAGCTAGTTAGTATCTACTTATCTTTACTCTCTATATATATTATTATTTATTTAATAAATTAACTTTTCTATCCCTTAGGGTATAAGAACTATTAATAAGTAAGATAGCTATTATCTAATAAGGTTTATAAGAGTATAGTAATAAAGAACTATAAGTAAAAGTAAGTAATCTTATAATAAAGCCTTTTTAAATAAATATATTAACTCCCTTTTAAACTCTAGATAGATATAGCGGACTAGCCCTATAGTAGCTATAAGTAGGTATTAACTTTAGTATCTATATTCTTAGAGAGGAAAAAGAGAAAGTTCCTAGAAGGTCTAGCTCTTCCTTTTATATATTATCTATAGTAGTCTAACCAGGGTTAGTCTACTATAGCTATCTCTTATTAGATTAAGCCTAGGATCTTACTAGGTCTAAGTTCTTAATATATCTTCCTACTAAAGCCCCTATTACCTCTAACCTATAGTTTTTTATATACTCTATAGAAAATTAATATTACTATCTTAGTATATTATTAGTAATTATATATATATATATTATTATATTAATAATTATAAACTAACTATATATTAGCTCTACCCTATTATAACTTTATTATAATCTTTACTTTTTTAGTACTCTCCTTCTTTATATAATATTATTATTTAAACCTACCCTTATATATACTTTTACTTATATACTTATAATTACCTCCTTCTTATTTAATATACTAATTAATCCTATCCTCTAATAATCCCTACTATAAGTATTATATCTACTACTACTAATATTCTGCTCCTTTTACTACTCTCTAGTAGTAAAAGAGTTAGTTTTTATTATAATTATAATAATAAAGACTAGCTTTTATTTAAATAGTATTTAATACTTAATTATACCTATTAAGAGGAAAAATAAGTATATTACTTCTACTTATTTAATACTATATAATATTATTTTTTTTACTAACTAATTACTCTAAAGAAATAATAGAAGAAGGCTTTTTCTAATAAGTATATAACTATCTATAAGATTATTAATAAATTAAATCCTATTACTATTAATACTAATTATCCTACTATTATAGGTAGTACTACTACTATTAGTATAAAGAAGTTTAAACCTAAGAAGATAATAAGTACTTATCTTATTAAGGGTAACTCTTCTAATAAAAAGAATATCCCCCCCTAGTAGATTACTAAGACTTATAAGTTTTATTACTATACTACTTTAACTACTAGTAAGTATTTCTATATTTATAGCTCTAGTAAGACTTATTTTATATATTATAAGAAAAAGATAAAGTACTTTTAGAAGAATATACTTTATACTTTAAACCCTTAATTTTACTATATTTAAAAATAGGTAGTTACTATTATTAACTAGGGTAACTATATTATTATACTAGTCTAGAAGAAAATAGCTATAATTAAGGCTAAAGTAGCTATCTTAATATCTGTTTTTAATAAGCTAGTATAAATATATTACTTTACTTATAAAAAGATAGTATATAATAGTATATATATCTACTCTACCTATTAGAGTACTTTAGATAATATTACTCCCCCTTTTTAACTTATTTTTACTAAGTTAGCTATATAACTTATACTTTTATATTCTAACTATAGGTAAGAAAATATTATTATAGCTAAAACTATAAACTCTTTTACCTAGTAGGTTACTAGCTATCTTAGCTATACTTATATAAATTCCTTTTAATACTATATTACTTAACTATATTAGTACTAACTATTACTATAGTCTTAGATTAATAAGATTATCTATACCTAGTAAGGGTTTACTAATAAGTAATAATAATTACTTAATAGTATTAATTAATTTATAGATACTATTTCTTCTAGCTTTATTTATAACCTATATAGCTAATACCCTATCTTATCTAATCCTAGCTATAGCTACTCTAAATATTCTTTTACTCTTTCTATATCTAAATAACTCTACTATAATATATATAAAGGATCTAATATATATAGTAGTAGGTATAGATCTTCCTAGAGTATATTTAGTACTCCTTAGTATTATAAGTAGCTCCTACTTACTAATTCCCTTTATTAGATACCTTATAATTAGCCTAAGTCCTATTATTCTTAAGGTATATATATTTATTTTAATAATTATTCTTTATTTACCCCTAATAGTCTTTATAGTAACTATAGCTCTTAAGATTCTTATATCTCTTATTTAACTAATTATATATAGAATAGTTATATTTACTAATCTTATAACTCCTAGTAAGACTTATCTTATTACCTTTATAATTATTAGTAAACTCTATTCTATTACCTTTTCTACTAGTCTATTAACTATATAGTCTAGTAATAGTATAATAAGTAAAGTTATAAGTATAATATATACTATAAGTATAAGTATAACTATCTGGATATAGAGTTTAGTAATAACTATAAATAGGATAGTTAGAATAGTTTTAAATATAAGAGTAATAGAGTATAGAAGTAATAATTTAAAAAAATATATAATAGTTTAAGATATATATATAGTTTTAGTCTGTTTATTTTATATATTAAATACTCTTTTTTCCTATATAGTTTTTAATAGGGTCTAAGTATATAGATTTAGTTTAATACTTTTATTTTCTAATAAACTTTCTTTTATTTATTTTTCTATAAGTTCTTTAGTCTATTTTTAACTTATATATCTCCCTACTCTTTTTTAAATTTAGTAAGGACTATAGTATTCTAGAACTCTTTAAGTAACTCCTAGGTTAGATTATTATAATTTATCTACTTAATTAGTACTTTTCTATATTTCCTATAATCCAGAGTATTTTTAGTAGTTAGTATAGTTTTAATATAGTATTACTTTTCTTTCTTATTATTATTAAGATCTACCTATAGTAATCTAGACTTTATATCTATAACTTTTTATAATAGGAGTAGATTATTAGTAGTTTATTCTACTAAGTCTATATAAAAGGTTAGATAAATATTACTAGAGATATTTAGAGTAATAGTATTAGGAAATAGAATTATAATTACTAAGTATTTTATATAGAGTTAATCTAACTTCTTTATAAGCTAGGCTATCTTAATATTTCTTAGTAATAATTATATTATATTACTAACTTAGAATTATTTAGCTAGTTATTTTACTCTATTTATCTTAGATTACTATTTTTACTAGGTATATATAATTATAGTCTATACTAGCTCTATATCTATCTTTAGATACTCTAAAAATTAAATAGCTTTTCCCTTTAGTAAGTATCTTAGCTAAGGTATTTCTATTAAGATCTATATTAGATTAATATTAAATCTATTTAGTAGTTTTAAGAAACTTATACTAATTACTAATAAGTTCCTATTATTTAAAGCTAATTAATAAACTAGTAAGTATATAGGTTAATCTAGTTATAAGAAGGATATTATTACTTTTAATATTACTTAGATCTCTTAATTAGCTCTCTTTATACTATTATTAGTTTATAGGTAGTAAGAGATAAAAAGAAGCTATTTTACTCCTACTAGTTTATATAATATTAATTAGAACTCTCTAATTTAATTTAAATCTCTATTACTAATAATTTATATAGAAAATCTATAGAATCTCTACTAAGTATTTTTAAATCTTTTTATATATTCCTTTACTTCTATTAAGCTTATTACCTCTAACTAGATATATTTTAAAAGTCTATCTATAATAACTATAAAATATCTTAGATTACTCTTTTTATATATAGGTAGGTTTATTATAAAGTTAATTAAGATTTATTACTAGTAGTATTCTATAATTAGTAAGAATTAAAGTAAATCCTATCTTCTCTATTTTAAAATATATTTTTTATAGTAGGAATAGTTATAAAAGAACCTCTTTATTAATAATAATAATTTATCCTAGTAGAATTAGTAATTAAGTAGGTAAAAGATTATATTCTACTCTAGGTATTCTACTATTAGTAAGTTATATATTTTATAGATTAGAACTATTATTAGAAGTTCCTAGTTTAGTATTTATAATCTTTCTCTATATTATAAAGCTCTATATATACTTATTAAATAATCTATAATCTAGGTTCTTATTATTACTTCCTTAGGAAACTTCCTTTTATTTTTAATTATTATTTATAGTCTTCTTATATAGAGTAGATTATTTACTATATTTTTATCCTATAATATTTATAGATTAGATTCTATAAAGAGAGTATAACTAAATAGGGTTCTATTCTTTATATAACCCTTCTAGTCTAGCTCTAGGCTAGGTTTTTTACTAGATATTATATTCTTTATATCTCTTATTAGGATTTTTATAGAGTTATATTTTAAAGCTATAATTAATATAGAATAGAAGATTATACTTTTATAAGATAGAATATCTTTATTATTCTATTCTCTTCTTAAGAGTATATCTAATCTAACTATTTATAATCTAGATCTATATTATAAATAGTAATTAAAAAAAAAGAGAAGTTCTTCCTAGTAAATCTAATACTTATTTATAGATCTTAGTTTTATAAAGTATTCTAATTCTTTATAGTTAGTAAGAATAGTAAATAGTTTAAATATACCCTTTAACTCTATAGATTATACTTTTAAGTAAAAAACTACTACTAAGAGTTCTTTATTATAAATAGTATAGTTTCTTTCTACTAGAGTAAGTTTTATAAAGTAGTATATAACTAGATATAGGATCCCTTTCTCTAATAGTTAAAATAGATATTCTTCTAGAGCTTTTCTAGAGTAGTTTATCTTTATAATTATATTTTTTTTAGGGTTTTAAAATACTAGTATTAGATATAAGATAAAGAGCTCTCTTAGAGTAT